CTCCTCCTCCTCCGCCGCAGGTCCCAGCGCGGCCCCGGCGGAAGATGCGCGGCCGGCGGTGAGCGGCGCGGGGCAGAGGCCGCAGCCCAGCCCGGCGGGCGGAGGATGCGGGCCGGGCCGCGCCGGCCCTGAGAGGCAGGATGGGCACCCAGGGCAGCCCCGTGAAGAGCTACGATTACCTGCTCAAGTTCCTGCTCGTGGGCGACAGCGACGTGGGCAAGGGCGAGATCCTGGAGAGCCTGCAGGACGGCGCCTCCGAGTCCCCGTACGCCTACAGCAACGGTAAGGGGGCTGGGGGGGCCGCGGGACCCCCGCCGCTGTCACCCCCGGTCGCTGTCACCCCTCCTCGCTGTCACCCCCGCCGTTGTCACCCCCGCCGTTGTCACCCCCGCCGTTGTCACCCCCGCCGTTGTCACCCCCACCCCGCCCGCTGTACCCCCTCCCCGGGGCCGTGTCCCCCGCCGGGCTGGCAGACAGGCAGGGAGGGGTTGTTTTGCTTTTTCCTTTGTTTTTTTTTCCTTCACGCGCGTGGCGGGCAGCGGGGAGGCCTCGGCAGCTCCTTAAAACGCCCCAGATCTGGAGGGGGACGTGGGCAGAGGGGCCGGGGGTGATGTAATCCCTGGATGCGCAGCCGGACCCTTCCCCAGGGGAGCGCTGCCCGCGCCCTCCCGGTGCCCACACGGACCGAGCCGTTCCCAGGGGAAGCAGGAGCTGTAACAAAAGAACAGGAGGCCGATTCCTGCCCGGAGCCGCTCCGGCTCGGTGGCCGTGCCGGCAGGGCTGGGTTGGCCGATCCGCCTCCTGCCAGCGTCGAGGCTCCCGATGGAGCCCATGACAGACCATTAACTACGGTGTCACAAGACCGTCATTAAGAGCCAAGGAGTGGCGCGGTTTCCTGCGGTCCCGGCGGAGCTCGGCCTGGCGGGGTGCGGGTCCTGCCGGCGGGTTCAGTCTGTCATCCTTCCCCCGCTCCGTGCGCAGTGACCTCCCCGAGGGCTGAGACCCTGCATCAGGAGCAGGTGGTGCTGAGGTTTGCCTGGCAGCAGGAATCCGAGGGAATCGGGAGCTCCCGATGCTCCGCTTCGGCCGAATTCGGAGCCGCTCCTCGGAGCCACCACCGGCTCCCCAGGAGCTGATGCAAACACGCACCTGCTCCACGGATATTCACGGGGAGCTGGTGACTCAGGAGTCGGGCTGCCTGTGAAATGGGAGCAGCAGTTCTGGAAGGAGAGGGCTGTGGGATTGTTCATCTCCTCGGGTGTCTGCCTGGGCTGGTGTGGTTTTGCCTTCGAGGAGGTGCTGAGAGCTTCCCTGAAGAGAGTTTGTGCCTCAGCTGGGAGCTGTGGAGCTGCTCTGTGCGGTTGGAGTTTGCCAAGCAGAGTGTAACAGGGGGGGTTGTTTTACGTGAAGTGTCACAGTTGGAATTGTCTCCTGATCGAACTGGGCTTGAAGCAGGAGTAAGGAGTGAGCAAACTGAGTGTGTGGTGGGGTGTCTGGTATATATGTACATCCCAAAGAACAGGGATTGTGGCTGTGCCTATCAAAGCTTTGTCTTGGAACCTGCTATTTTATAACTACAAAATACCAGCATCTTTTTGCTGGAAAAAGAAATCTCAGTGATCTAATATTTTCACCCTCCGTGGGCAATTGAGCCCATTCCTAATTAGAGAATTAGGTCACATACTGTTGTTTCACAGTAATATGTGCTCTGATAGTCTCTGCCTCTGTTGCTCCTGGGAAGCGACGCACCTTTAGGATAATCAGCTGGAATGGCTTTGATATCCCAGTGAATTTGATGTGCTGATGCTGCTGACAAGCCCTGGCAGTGGAAGCCCCCGTGTGTCTGGCACAGCTGGGATGTGCTGACAGGGCACGCTGCTCCTCTGCCCTGACAGAGACCGTCCCTGAGCCCAGGCTCTGGGATTTTGGGAACAGCTCGTGCCTGGCCTCCTCTCTGACACGTGCCTAATGCTGCCCCAAAACTGCAGCAGTTTATGTTATGCAGAGGTTTTGTTTGTAAATCTACTTGTAAACATGTTGTACTCTTCCTCATCCCCTCCCAGAGCCCACATCCCAATTTAAAACAAGTGTTATATCATCTACAACTTGTTTGGTCAGTCCAGAAAGCACAATTTGCTGGTGCTGGTGTGAAATGGAGGGTGTTTTGGGCTGCTCTTGTGGTGGGGACACCCCATGTGGAGCTCAGGTCCCTGACCTTGGTGGGGAGGGAGCCCTTGGCCCTCTCTGTCTTGTTGAGCTGCTTTTACTCTGCTGTGTGGAAGCAGTTGTAACCAGCCAGTTTTTTTGGGATGAGTGTGAAATGCATTGTCCTTCCAGCTCTGGGAAGGCACACCCTTAGGAGAGAAGCTCTCTAAATGAAGCTCTGTAGTTTTGCTGCTCTTACCCAGCCTCTAGAAAAGGGATTGGGGGATTCCTCTCTTCTCCGTGGGCATCTGGCTGGTGGACCAGCACACAACTGAGAGGTGAAAAGCCCTTTTTCTATGGGCTTTTGTGAGCTGTAAGCAGCCTCTGCCTGCTCTCTGGTATCTGAGAGCCTTGGATGCAGTAGGAGCTGTGTCTGTCTTAAAGCATTATAAATGCTTCTGTCCATCTTTTTCCAGGATCCCTGAGCAGAAGGGTCACTTCTCAGCACAGCCTTGGAGCTTGGCACCTTGTTATAAATTGGGCACATCTTAAATTAGCCCCTGCAGTTCCTGTGGTGCATAGCAAGGCCTCAGCCATGTCCTTTCTTTAAATTGCTGGGAAAATAAACCTGCTCTGTGGGAGCAGAGGTGGTTGTTGCTCCCTGTTGTAGGAAGAGGAGTGAGCAATGCCCCGGTGCTGCACAGAGCTGCGAGGGCACTGGGTATGGAACTTACAGTGACAGAAAAATAGCATTTTGAGGAGAAATGTGAGGTCCAGGTGTCACCTGTGTGTTCCTTCCTATGTTTGTGCTGTAGCTATGGAGTGTATCAGTCTCCAGGAGCATCAGCCAAGCGTTCCCTGTGAAAAGCAGGGAGTGTTGTTTGTGTCTTGTGGCTGGATATTGTAACTGGGCTGGACTTACCTTTTGCTACTTCCTGGCCATCCGCAAAAGACCCTGAGTTAAGCCTTCCTACCAGTATTTTGGCAGGGAGAATGCTCTTCTGGGCTTCCAGTGTTGTCCTCCTTCCCAGCTTTTACCTCTCCCCAAATCTCTAGTTGTGGAGGGAGGATGCCTTTCTTGGAGCCTCACGGCTGCTCTGGACAGCTGGAGGACCTCACCTAGGAACCAAAAATCCTGCTTTTTCCTTGAATGCCCTCTGCTCTCAGCATTGGCTCCTTCTCCCAGGTTCAGGGAGGGGCTGCTCCGGTCCCTGTGCTGTGAGCCCTGGTGTTACACCAGAGTCAGAGCAAAATGCTGCTTTACTCACGGATACGAGTCCACTGCAGAGATCACTTTTCACTTGGGTGCTTAAATGGCTCACTTGGGGTCCGTCCTCATCCTTCCCCAAGTACTGAAGCAGGACAGAAGTGTCTGTGGTCACAGGGTGGTTTTGGAGACAGGGTGTGGTGGAGCTGCACGTGGAAGCAGAGGCGGCCTGTGTGCCCTGTGCGAGGGGGACAGGGGTACTCCTCACCTGGGGGCCCTGTGGCTTTGTCACCACTGTGTCACACATCACCCTGGAATACCTGGTTGTCCATGTGCTGAAATGACCTTGCCCAGCTGGTTTGTTGGCTTGCTGGAGCAGCCTGGGGTGAGTCAGGGCAGGGCTCGGAGCAGCCACGAGTGCCATCGCTGCCAGTGAGACGGTGCCCCCGGAACGGGCTGGGCTGGGCTCAGCACGCAGATGTGAGGGGATGTGCTCCCTCCTCATGTGAGGGAGGGCTTGTTCTGTGGCTGCCTTCCCCCTCACCTGCTGCTGTTCCCACAGGAAAGGAGAAACGTGTGTTAGGGAGAGCGTAGAGCGTGTTTGGGAGCAGATGGCTTGGACTGGAAGGGGGGGTGGATTTTTATTTTTATTTTTCCCTGTCCTCAGCTTGTATTGAGAAAGTTATGAGGATGCAGCCAATGTCCTCACTCTGATCTCCTTGCAAAAAGCACATAAAAGCTGAAATGAGAGCCCTGCCCTGTGCAGGGTTGGTGCTGAGACCAGCCCTAATGCACTGAACCCCAGTGCCATCTTTCAGCCTGGCCCTTGGATGGTGCCTTTATTTGAGCACCATCCTTAGGTGCTCTGGTACCCCCCTGCTATCCAAGACTGAAAGATATGTTAGGGAAAAGGGAACTGGAGTGCTCAGTGCAGTAGCTACTGACAGGTTTTATGGTTCAGATTAAAACTGGATTTTTCCCCCATTGCAGAAGTGCAGAAATTCAGCTCCTGGGTGGGGGCTGTGAGCCCACCATGGCTGGGGTTCCATGCCAGCAGCAAGGACTGGGGTAGTGCAGCTTGGTGCCCTATCCTTGGCTGGGAGGGTGGAACAGGCAGCTGAAGGCACTGCCCAGCCCTCAGAGGTAGTTGATCCCCTCCAGCCAGCACAGTTTGCCTGGGGGCTGCTGTTAATCACCAGGTTGTTTATTGGAGTGACCCACATCTTTGGATGTCTTTTCCCTCTGGTTGTCTTTGTGCAGCTGTCTAAATCTGGGAGTTCCTAAACTGTCCCTTGCAAGTCCTTACAGCAATTCTTCTCTCAGCATGTCCTGTGACCACTCAGGCACCAGTGTGCATCCAAAAACTCCCCCTGTAAACTCTGCTTTGCTTTGCCACAGTCTCCAAGTTAGTTCTGTGCCAACCAGGACATTACCTGTCCCACAACAGTGCGTGCAGGGGTGGAGGGAAGGGGACACCTTGTCTCATCCTCCTCCCTGCCATGGAGGGAGGGCTTGCAAGGGGATGTTTCTCGATGCATCTGCCCCTTGCCTGTCAAGTTTCCAAGGCTGAGCAGGGAGATGGTCTCTTGCTTCTCATCCACAACCTCTCTTTGCTGCCATGTGTGGTTGCAGGTCCTACCACTATGGTTGGCTTTTCCCAAACCTTAACAAAGCATGGGGCTGAGCAGGTCTGCCCTAAACTTGAACTTGTGCAAGGCCAGGACCTCTCTCAATACCTGACTGCACCTTCCTGAGCACACTAGAGTTTTTGGGTGTCCCCATGGGCAGTGAAACCTCAAACAGGGCCAGCACCGATGTGGTGGCACCTTCTGGGCATAGACTGCAGGTGTTGAGCCCAGGCTTCAGATGGCAGCTGAGTGCTCCTCCTGGTGCTGCTGCACTGTGCCAGGGCTTGGCATCAGTAGGGAAG